ATATATATATATAAAATAATAAATTGCATTACACAAATACACATATATCTAAAACATAATATTGTTTATAATTATAGCATATTAATTGTATTCTAAATTAAATGTGTAAATCAATAGATAACGATATTTCTGTTCGACAGACTATTTTCATGTAAACATTTGCCGTTTTTTTTCAGATATTATAAACGGCATAGGTAATGTTGTGGCTGGGGAGTAATGCATGTAAGTGTGGGGAGTAACCAAACCTTAGCCTTCAGAAAATGACGATAGACTGCTCCGTGTTGAACCAGTGAAATGATCTCGTTGTAATGTATCCGAAGGAACGGACACAATGAGTGCTCCTCCATATAAAGATTCAGACAGTAAGGTAACAATTGTTACCAAATATGAGTAAACAGACAGAGCTAATATTGCATCATGGAACAGCTGTTTCACATGCCATATCGTAGGTTGCCATATTTTCAAACTTTAATTTATTTTATTTTAATTACAAAGCATTTATATTGCGATTTCTTGATATTTCGCATTTGTATTATTACAAAGTTTAAATGACAATTTTTAACAAAAGAAATCAATAAATAAAATATTGAAAAAATATTACACAATTAAATTACAATGGGGCAACACACATTGCAACTTAAATTACAATATGGCAACACACATTCCAACTTAAATTACAATATGGCAACACAAATCTTTTTTCAACAACCATTTTCGAAAACTCGAATTCTCATCTCGCATTTTTTGCGTCTCCCTATTCATTCAGAATAAGGCGAGAATGTGAAAGCGAAATTTTTTTTACATGCGAGATATCTCCCTAAGTATGCTTTTCCACAGGCAGATTTTTATTTGGCAAATTTTTTGTTTTTTGGAACAACTCTAGTTTAGTAAAAACGACCCGATTTTTTTGAAATTTTTTCCAGAGGTAGGTATTTTGACCCTAATTATGGGAATGTTTTTTTTTTCTTGGGGGACGTACCCGGTTACCCGGTTATTTGACCCGAAAGTTCGGGTCCGGGTACCCGGTTATACCCGGCTCTACGGATCCGATTAATACAAAATGGGTATCATTTTAAAGGTTATAAAAATACCTTTCCAATGAGTGGTGATATGAGTCACAGCCAAAAAACTGGATTTTGGATCCCTATTTTTATGAAAAACTCCCTAAAAGTCGAACTTGGGTCCATTATGGTCCCCCTCGACTCCTTACTTAAATGATAGACTACAATTTGCTCTTTCCAAAATGGTACGGCATGTGGCTGTATCTATTGTGGATCAAAAGATATGGGCCTTAGAACCCTGCAAACTGACTATGTCAAATTCATTAGTATTATCATGAATATATGCAAATGCAAAGATATGAGATATGACAGGTACCAACACCGGCTACGCGACAGAATCTCCTTTTATATAGAATAGTTTTCTGGGTAGCCGGCCTTCGGCCGGGGATTTATGACTTTCTCCTATGGACAGATACCAACACCTGCTACGCGACAGAATCTCCTTTTATATAGAATAGTTTTGTGGGTAGCCGGCCTTCGGCCGGGGATTTAAGACTTTCTCCTATGGACAGATACCAACACCGGCTACGCGACAGAATCTCCTTTTATATAGAATAGTCTTCTGGGTAGCGGGCCTTCGGCCGGGGATTTAAGACTTTCTCCTATGGACAGGTACCAACACCGGCTACGCGACAGAATCTCCTTTTATATAGAATAGTTTTCTGGGTAGCCGGCCTTCGGCCGGGGATTTAAGACTTTCTCCTATGGACAGGTACCAACACTGGCTACGCGACAGAATCTCCTTTTATATAGAATAGTTTTCTGGGTAGCCGGCCTTCGGCCGGGGATTTAAGACTTTCTCCTATGGACAGATACCAACACCGGCTACGCGACAGAATCTCCTTTTATATAGAATAGTTTTTTGGGTAGCCGGCCTTCGGCCGGGGATTTAAGACTTTCTCCTATGGACAGGTATCAACACCGGCTACGCGACAGAATCTCCTTTTATATAGAATAGTTTTCTGGGTAGACGGCCTTCGGCCGGAGTTTTAAGACTTTCTCCTATGGACAGGTACCAACACCGGCTACGCGACAGAATCTCCTTTTATATAGAATAGTTTTCTGGGTAGCCGGCCTTCGGCCGGGGATTTAAAACTTTCTCCTATGGACAGGTACCAACACCGGCTACGCGACAGAATCTCCTTTTATATAGAATAGTTTTCTGGGTAGCCGGCCTTCGGCCGAGGATTTAAGACTTTCTCCTATGGACAGATACCAACACCGGCTACGCGACAGAATCTCTTTTTATATAGTATAGATTTTTGGGTAGCCGGCCTTCGGCCGGGGATTTAAGACTTTCTCCTATGAACAGGTACCAACACCGGCTACGCGACAGAAGTTTCTTGTTTTTGTAGGGTTCTAAGGCCCATATCTTTTGATCCACAGCCGATACAGCCACATATCACACCATTTTGGAAAGGGCAAATTGTGGTCTATCATTTGAGTCGGTTGTGGAGAGGGACTATAATGGACCCAAGTTCGACTTTTAGGGAGTTTTTCAAAAAAATAGGGGTCCAAAATCCAGTTTTTTGGCCTTCGGCCGGGGATTTAAGACTTTCTTCTATGGACAGGTACCAACACCGGCTACGCGACAGAATCTCCTTTTATATAGAATAGTTTTCTGGGTAGACGGCCTTCGGCCGGGGATTTAAGACTTTCTCCTATGGACAGGTACCAACACTGGCTACGCGACAGAATCTCCTTTTATATAGAATAGTTTTCTGGGTAGCCGGCCTTCGGCCGGGGATTTAAGACTTTCTCCTATGGACAGATACCAACACCGGCTACGCGACAGAATCTCCTTTTATATAGAATAGTTTTTTGGGTAGACGGCCTTCGGCCGGGGATTTAAGACTTTCTCCTATGGACAGGTATCAACACCGGCTACGCGACAGAATCTCCTTTTATATAGAATAGTTTTCTGGGTAGACGGCCTTCGGCCGGAGATTTAAGACTTTCTCCTATGGACAGGTACCAACACCGGCTACGCGACAGAATCTCCTTTTATATAGAATAGTTTTCTGGGTAGCCGGCCTTCGGCCGGGGATTTAAGACTTTCTCCTATGGACAGGTACCAACACCGGCTACGCGACAGATTCTCCTTTTATATAGAATAGTTTTCTGGGTAGCCGGCCTTCGGCCGAGGATTTAAGACGTTCTCCTATGGACAGATACCAACACCGGCTACGCGACAGAATCTCTTTTTATGTAGAATAGATTTTTGGGTAGCCGGCCTTCGGCCGGGGATTTAAGACTTTCTCCTATGGACAGGTACCAACACCGGCTACGCGACAGAAGTTTCTTGTTTTTGTAGGGTTCTAAGGCCCATATCTTTTGATCCACAGCCGATACAGCCACATATCACAGAGGGACTATAATGGACCCAAGTTCGACTTTTAGGGAGTTTTTCAAAAAAATAGGGGTCCAAAATCCAGTTTTTTGGCTGTGTCTCCAAAACGGTTTGAGATAACCCCATCATAATCTTTTATAACCTTTAAAATGATACCCATTTTGTGTTGATCGGATCCGTAGAACCGGGTATAACCGGGTACCCGGACCCGAACTTTCGGGTCAAATAACCGGGTAACCGGGTACGTCCCCCAAGAAAAAAATATATCCCCATAATTAGGGTAAAAATACCTACATCTGGAAAAAATTTCAGAAAAATCTGATCGTTTTTACTAAACTAGAGTTAAGCCAAAGAAAGAAAAAAACGTCAAAAGTGTTTGCATTTTAAAGATTTTTTTAATATTTTATTTATTTTTTTATATATTTCATTATATAAATTGCAAATATTAAAAAGTAAATTTCACTTGCACAAATTAAACAACAGGTTTGTAAACAAAAGCCGGCTGTGTGTCAGTAAAGCGAATAGGTTCAAAAGGAAATGTCAACAAAATTGTTTTCAGCGAACAGAGCAAAGCAGAATTTGCGTGCACGCCATATTCTGAACAGGCAAATTTTGGTTTTTCTTCCTCGCACCTCTCTCGCCTACAAACTCAGTATTTGCCAAATAAAAATCTGCCTGTGGAAAAGCAGACTAACAAATATCCAGAATAAGGCTGTATTTGAGTTTTTCACTGTTCAAAATGCATCAAACTCGACTTAAACATTCCTTTTTACCTCCATGCATTCCTTGGGAATATTTGGTTCAGCATCCATCGTTATCAATAGGATTTTCAATGGCATTTTATTTGTTGTTTTCCAGTTAAAACTTTGCTTACTATCATTTATAATATTCTAAATCGTCACAAAATAAGTATTGTGTGAATATTTTTCATAAAAATATTTATTACTTATGTTTTTGTAGTCAGATCCCTTTGAATTTATTGCCGAAAAAATTCGCACAAAATTTCATCTCATTCTCCTACTCCATGTAATCCAGAATACCTAATTTTTCCCCAAAGCGGATTTTTTTCGTTTTCGAACTTCATTCAGAATAAGGCGAAAGCGAGAATGCGAAAAAATTCCCAAGAAAATGTTGTTCAGAATAAGTCGAAGGGGAAGAGCGAGTAAATTCACGTGGAATTGACATTCAGAATAAGGCTGATTATTTAGTAAATATAATCGTTTAACTCATGCAAACAAAAATTGAATGCCTTTTATGTATGGTTGTTGTAATATATTTTTTATTATTTACAATAGTAATGTCTACGCATGTTGTTTGTTTTATATTTTAATATAAATAGAATATGTAGTGTATATATAGTAGAATATATATATATAAAATAATAAATTGCATTACACAAATACACATATATCTAAAACATAATATTGTTTATAATTATAGCATATTAATTGTATTCTAAATTAAATGTGTAAATCAATAGATAACGATATTTCTGTTCGACAGACTATTTTCATGTAAACATTTGCCGTTTTTTTTCAGATATTATAAACGGCATAGGTAATGTTGTGGCTGGGGAGTAATGCATGTAAGTGTGGGGAGTAACCAAACCTTAGCCTTCAGAAAATGACGATAGACTGCTCCGTGTTGAACCAGTGAAATGATCTCGTTGTAATGTATCCGAAGGAACGGACACAATGAGTGCTCCTCCATATAAAGATTCCATTTCTTCCATTTGCTTAGCAAATGTCTCCTCCAGACGCTATATTAAGGTATTACCAAAAAGAACAAGAACACGTACGTAATTAATCATTCTCTAATGAAAAATAGATTTTCTTTACGGATGTTAATGTGACTATCTAGAATGAGTTACATTATGACACGTATACAAGCGTACGCACACACACAGACAAGAACAATGATCCCATAACTAACAACCGAATGTAGCTTATTAACAATAATAACTATAATATAATATATTTGACTAACCTCTTGTTTTGTTATATATTGTCGATTTTTTTCACGAATGATTGTTAATTGGAGACAGTTAGTTACGAGCAATGTGGTACAATGTTATTCAGTTCATTGCCGCAACCACCGGATTTCTAGGACACTTCACATGCTTTCGTTTACCCAAATAAGCGAATAATATGATCTTCTGACATGAACGATTAAGAATATTGAAAATCTGACTACATTAAGGGATGTTTATGTTTACGGAATACTGAATGTGTGTATGTGTATTATTTTATGTTCGATAAATGTTAGTGTATTAGTCTGATACAAACAGAAGTGAAAGGGCTGACTTATTTACGAACTAAGACAATATGGTATATATAATCTATGTTAGTGTTTTAAATATAAGGAATGCTAATAGGACAGATATTTAATGGAAAGTGTGTTTTATGGCAAAGTAATTCATTGTATCAGCACGCTCCAGAATCTGAATCTGTGGTCTTTTGATTTTCGGTTGCATTCGTCACAATTCTCGGAAGAGAGAATTTCGGTCCTCTTTGGAGAAGAAAACCATCGTATGGTCGATCGTCTTGGCAAGTATTGGAACGTCGCAGTGTTGCACGAAGTTGTGGATCGACTTCGTTAAGAAGAGCTGCTGCTTTTTCGCCTGCCAAGTTTCCATCGTTAAGGGATACTTGGCGCTGCATTGTTGCATAGCTTTCCGGAATGTTGTGAAGAGAGTATGACGCAGTCATAGAAGTTGCCCTCTCTGGTAAAATTGACGGACGTTTAATAACGAAAGACGATGATGGATGCAATAGCGGATGTGGGTTTGCTTGTAATTTCTTCAACTCCTCGGTTGTTGCAAGAGATTTACGACCGAAACGATTAACAACAATATCATCAACGTGTGGGCGAAGATCTACCGTAGATGATGTATCAGAAGCTCTAAATGTTGTTAAAACTTGACTGTTTTCTTCTTTAATCGTATGTATTGCACTTGGTATTGGCGAGGTTTTAATTTCAACAAGATCATCTTGGACAACAGACGTCTTAAAACTTGCTGGTGTCAAGTGTTGATCGGCGTCCTTAGGTTGGGTATATTTCGAATAACTATTCAATCTAGTAGCTATGCTTGTGTCGATTTTATTAATTGGGCGTGCTATAGACATAGAGTGTGATCCATCACGGAGTTCATTGGTCGTTATTGGACGATCCTGTTTGTAGAGAATGGGTGTATTTGGGACGCTCCTACTAAGATCTGGCACTGAACTACGAAAGTTTGAAGTTATGCCAGAAGTAAACATCGACAAGGTCCTTGATCGTAACATTTGTTGTGCATTGTTTAAGAAAGTTCCTTTAGGAACCACACGTGGTATGTCATTAAATATACCCACTAAATGATTAGGCAAAGCAATCGGCGTCTCTAACAAATCCTCGCAAAGTCGGCCGTCCTCTTTTATTCCATATTGTTGCATAAACTCTTTCATGATTAATTTAAAAGTTTCAACCATTCTCTGATTCACGATCAAATGATTGTTAAAGATTTGGAAGGCGATAAGCGGCGTCATGCAATCATTTCGATATTTTTGTTAGTAGAAGAAGTATTGATATAAGTAGTATTGGTAATAGTAGTAGTAGTAAATTAATGTTACGTTTATTAAGGCAGTGGAGTTTATCCAATTAAATACGGCCATAGGCAGCAATAAAAGTAGTAGAAGAAAAAATAAATATTTAAGCTATTATCCATCACAATGTGCATAGACACTATTTTTTACATACGATATAAAAAATATTCAGTTATACATCATCCTTATTCCAGCTGTCGTCGTCTATGTCATCATCACTTCGCATCGACATTGTTTTGATATTCTCTAATGCCATGTACAGACGAGCGTTGTTCACTCTCTCATTCGTTGTTCGACCCTTAATTATGAAGTAATTACTTAATTATGAAGTAATTACTTAGTTCCATTTGTTTCTAGGTCAGTGGAATGAACATGCTTAATTCGCATTGGAATCTAATAGTAAATATTTTCGGGCAATCCAAAATAAAAATTATATTTGGCATTTCTTCTTTTTCAAAAAATGTGGTTTAAATTTATTTCTAAAACTTCTATGCAATCTTTCAAATAGAATACCAAAAGCCGATTAAGGTGGATGCCAAGAATACTTATAATATAAACATCCAAAATTAAAATCTGTACTAAGACAATCGAATGAACTAATATAAATAATTGATTCCAAAAATGTACTTATTTATTTTGTCCATTCGTTCTTATGATTTTTTTCTTTCTGTCTCGTATAGACATTTATTTATCTTCGAGATATACACATTTCTTGAAAGAAAACTATAGTTTTCGTACCCACATAAGTATGTACACACTGCATGCATATACTAAAGTGCAAAAGGAAACGAGAGAAATCCATAGTTAGAATCGCTCTGAGTCGGTTTATAACGTCCCTCCGTCCATGTATCATTGTAAACAAGTTACAGGTCACATTTATGATACGAATGGAATAAATTTGGCTTCTCCTTTATTTGGCGCAAGGAAGAGCCGTATTGAAACAAACGACGTGTCGACAAGTGAAATAAGGACGAATATTAAATTTTATATGCATATTTAACCGTACCCATGTTAAATATTAATATCAAATATATGTATAGTTCTGATATAATTTATTAGTTACCTGTTTTCGTGGCACCAACTGATCTTTCCATTCCCTCAATTCCGCCTTTAAACGGTCATCAATCTGGGCCAGTTTAGCGTGTTCGTGCTCGACCAGAGCTTTGCGCTTTTCATTCTGTAGCTGCTCCAGTTCCCTAAAGTGAATATAAAATATAAATATATGTTTAAAAACAAGTAACGTTTTTATTGAGACTTCTTTCCGATAATCTTTTTAGTTCGTAGCATCTGTGCTTAACACGGATTTTACTTGAGTACTTTTTTTTGTTATGGGAAAAATGAATTTAAACTTTCCAATTTGTAATCAAAAACTGTCAATGGTAATACTAAAAACTAAATTATATATTAAATACAAATCGTTGACCAATATTAATCCTTGTCTTGGGTCGAAAAATTATGACTACGATAATGTCAATCGTATAATTAGTCGTTAGTCGTTTTGTCAATATTTTACTTTAGCAGTGCCTAATGTTGATGCACCCTTTGTATGTTAGACTATATGACTACAAACTAAATATAGTCACATGAAATACATACCTTATTGTGCTCTCTCTTGTAGCTCGTAATTCCTCCAACTGCTTTTGATGTTTTATTTCAAACCTTCTCTCTTCTTGTGTATATCGTTTTTTGTCCTGTTCCTGGAACTGTGTTTGAAAAGGAACTGTGTTAGTAATAATATTTTTCAGAAGGTACCATTTTTACCTTTTTGAAACGTTCTCTTTCAACTTCTGGATCAAGATTGATTGATGATATACGAAGCGATTCTCTAAACATTAGTTCACGTGCTTTCCGCTCGGCTCGAATACGTTTTGGCAGTGCACGCTTTTCTAATGCTTGTTTTTTAAGTAAATCCTCCTCTTTTCGTTGCAGCATACGCTTCACTTGATCCAGTTCTTTTTCGTGTCGAACAATCATTTGATGACGTTGCATAAAACACATCTCCTTCACGTGACGTTTCGAAAGTTGGTGCCGTTCATGCAATTGTTTCTCTTCCAGCTCCCAAAGTAGAGCCTCTCTGGTGCGCATGGCATTTTGCTTTTGTTGTAAAAAGTTTCTGTGAATTGTGGCAAGATGATCACGGTGTTTTTCGCTTAAACGTCTTAATAGTAGCTCGTGCCTCTCTTTTAATGCATCTAGAAAAGCCCTTTCCTTTTCCTCATGATCCAACTCCATAGCGGATCGACGTTGTTTGAATTCATCTTTTCGCTTATCTTTTGGCAGGAGGTCAACTTCTTGTTTAAGCAAATGAATTTCTTGCTTCAGATTTTCCCGGAATATTTTTAGTTCTTTTTCTTGCTCAGCTCGAATCCGTTTGGAAGATGTTCGTAGTTCATGTTCCTGAGCTTGTTCTGTCTTCTCTATTAGTTGCTTATGTTGGCGAGCCAGAGCGTCCATATCCGATTCATATGTTTTCTCAAGAGAGGCGCGCTCCTGTTCGAAACGACGATCTTGTTGTTCTTTGCTTAGTTGCTCCTTTAGTTGTAGATCTGTTTGTTGTTTTTTCTCTTGTTTTTGCAGCATTTTCAATTCCCTCAACTCTTGCTTGCGGAAAACGTGATCGTCATACATTCGTCCCGATTCATCGTCTCCATATATAACTCTACTCGTCGTGGTTGTCACTTGAACGCCATCGATTTCAAATTTTCTGGTTCGTTTTCTTGTCTTTTTCCTCAGATTCTTCAGTTCAATTTCCTCTTTTGTAAGCCCTGAAGCTACACCATAGCCGCTCTTATAACCCGGTTTACGTCGAATAATAACATCATCATCTTCTATTCTGTCCTTTCTTTCAGCGGCGTCAACGTCGACTTCAATGCGACTGTCTTGACTAGCAGTGGTGCAAACGCTTTCTGCATCACTTTTATCAGCTGATACAGCTATTTTGACCTCTGCTCCACGACGGACAATTTTATTATTACTGCCAGTACTCGATTTTATTGAACCAGATTCACTTCCATCTGTCGGTGTCATTCCAGAAGACATAGCAGGAACATGTTCTTGTCTATTTCTATTTCGGTTAACTATAATGTTTATATCATCTGCATCGGGCGACGAAGTACTTTGTTGACTTCTATTGACCTGCCCATTTTGTCTTTTATCGCTTACAACAGTTGCTGAATCAAGGGCCACATTCGAAGTGTTGCCAGTTCCTTGTAAATTACTACTATCCTTGACACGTATTTCATCACCAACCGTAACCACTGATACGTGGCTTGTATCCATCATGTGCTGATCTGCGCTATGATCATGTTGGCTCTCGGAAGGCGTATTATATGCTGAATCATCATCGGTGGTAAATGAAGGACTCACTATAAGAACTTCACTTTCGTCCAGTTTGCGGGCAAGTGTTGTCGACGGACGAAGAGAAGTGTAGCCTCTATCGGTTTCTTCAGTGCTGCTCTGTTCCGTGTGAAGTGTGACTATCATTGATGACTGTTTATGTGGCGGAGGCGGCGACGATGCACCAATACTTTCATCCATGGATGGATAGTCATCGTCTGTCGATGATTCATTTATATGTGTTGATTTATTTTGAACATTAGATACGATAACGACATCACTCGAAGATTGTGGTTGGGATGGTGTTGGTGGCTGTGGTGCCGGCCGGCTCATGGAATTATCAATAACTACTGGTGGATGTGTGCTTGTTACTACGGTTATTTGCCGGGTGCCAGCTTCTAAACTATTTGGTAAGATAACATTTTGCGACAGAACCAATGACGTCTCTGGTTGACATCGGGATGACGACGAGGATGCGTCGCTATTTATAGTGATCATAGAAGTACTTGCGCTCACAATAGCTGTACCAGTACTGAAGCTCTTAGCTGATGATCTCGACGACACTGCCGGAGATATATCGGGTGAAAGTGTGGCTATCGTATCTGTATCCTTCTGGCGAACTGGACTATTTATGTTGCTATTTTCACTTTGCTCATCCCTTTCTTCCACGTTCTTTGGCACTGAAGTTAATGTATCCTCATCAGCTTCGTTGGATTTTGCTGCCACTTCAATAGCTTGTGGTGCTGTATCCTTTGGTTTTGTAATAGCAGGTGTCGGTGGAGGTGGCGCTTTACCCTTCTCCCTCTTCGTAACCTGAAACAAATAATTTCTATTGAAATAAATTTCCTTTTGTATATATACAAATTTAAACCTTTTTATCCACATCTGTGACGCTTGATGTTGTTGTCTTTTCAGGATCTGATACGGGCAGATCTTCAGGAATTTGTTGTAATTGTGGTTGCCGATGTGACTTGTTCCCCACTTCCTTTGACTTGTCCATGGATTCCATGTCATCTTCGTTTGCCATTTTACTTGATGTTGTTGATGATGTTTCGCTTGCTTGTGCTGTTGTTTTTTGTTCCGCAGCATCTTGTTTGTTTGTTTGTAAATTATTAGTTTGAGATGGTTCTTTAGTATCTCTAAGGGTACCTTGTACTGAAACTGTGATTAGTGGGAAAATGCATTATAATTGCTAGTAATATTATATATATTAAAGAATACATACTTTTGTCAATGTCTTGGCTTTGAACTGAAGCGGAATCATCGTCCAAATCTAGTGGGAGCGCTGAGTTGCGGGGTTCCTGAGTTAAAAAGAAATATAATTATTATTATATATTCGTGTAAAACGGCTAATCAAAAAGCGTGTAATTTATCTGCAACTGAAAATCTATATATAAAACTTGCAGTTAGGAGAAGTCTTGCAAAAGTTAAATTAAGGAAACAATTTATAAAATTTATTGATATGACAAAGCGAATAACAATTTACACTGCTCGTCAGTAGTAAATTAAACTATTAATAGAAAAAAAAATAAATAATAAAAGAAAGAAACTAATTTGAATGTACATACATAGTCTGCACGACTTACCAACCCTCTGATAAAGAGATCTTCTTTTCACTTGACGTTTTAGCTTCTAAAGCAACAATGATTATGTGCAGTTTAGAATTTAATTTATAAGTGAATTAGCGGCGTGTAGGAAAGAGTATGATAGAATGTAGTTAATATACTTAGTAAAATTACTGTCAATGATTATATAAAAATATCAACTGCTAAATATGTACAGCTTTCTAAGAAAATGTCATATAAATTTCGAAAAAATAACAAGACAAAAATGATATCATAACCACAGCGCTATATTCCACATGTTTAAACCAAACGAGTATAATAAGTAAGTAGCGATATTAGTTGCTAATATTTGAATAAAGACTCAACGTCATATTATATTAGGATGGATTCATTGTGCGTATCAATAAAACTACGTATCAATAAAAATTGCTGCTCTTTATATTCTTATTCTCAACTTTAACATTTCTATATTTAATAAAAAATCTATTCATATTGTTTGTATTTTAGCAATGGTTAGATGCGCAAATATTTCAATATAATAAAAGAAAGCAATTACCTCTGCTTCGTCATCTACCACTTCTTCAACAACTTCAGCTCTATATTCTAATAACAAGTCTTTGATTGGTTTGGCATCTAGATCGCGATTAATAAACGCATGTTGTAATAATATTTCCGTTGACGGTCTTTGATTTGGGTCCTGAAAAAGCGAAATATAAATTAACTGAATTGTCTTAGAGTATATTGAATAGAACTACCTTTACGAGGGCATTTTTTAAAAAGTCATTAAATTCTTTACTCCACCTGGATGGTTGGTCTAATCGGGGTGGATCGCTTTTCTGTATCTTCAGCAGAACTCTCATTGGAGACATTTCGCTATTTGGTGGTTCCATTTGAGCTAACTCAATGAGGGTAATACCGAGTGACCAGATATCAACTTTCTGATCATAGGGATTGTCACGAAAAGTTTCACACAATACAAGTTCGGGAGCCATCCAGTATGGTGTTCCTATGAATGTGTCGTGCTTCTGGAGAGTATGTTTATTTTTGGCCGATACTCCAAAATCGGCTGAAATTTCATACATTTATTATTGTTACTGTTTATATGTTGATATGCTGCTGCTCAACTCACCTAATTTGACACCGCCTTCCATCGTCAACAGGACATTACCGGCTTTAAGATCGCGGTGAATAACTTTATTCTTATGCAAAAAGTCTAATCCCTCTGTCATGTGTTTGCATACATAGGCAATTTGTGGTTCATTCAATGGTTTTTCCAATTCGACCATTATACTATCTAATGCTCCGCCATCACAATACTCAATAAGCATCTGTATTTATTAAACGGCCCCGCTCGTTTATAATATTTTTTTAATGATAAATTTATTAAGTGTACATACCCATAGTTTAAGTTCAACAAAAAATGCTTCATACAATTCGACTATATTTGGGTGTCTAATTTCCGATAATATATCAATTTCCACCATGTGATCACTTAAATCGGTAACAGCTTCCAAAATACACATTTTTGCCGCAGCGAATTGTCTGGTCTCCTTATGTTGGGCTTTGTATACTTTTCCGAAAGCTCCATCGCCCAGTTCGCCGACAATCTCCCATATTTCGGCAGGGTCAGTATCCATTTTGATATTATTGCCATGGCGCTTCTTTTTGGCTTCACCGCTTCCCAAATGAAAGACCTTTTTAAGATTATTAATGAACGACATGCCCTGCCTATACGAGTCTAATCTTTGTGGTTGTTGTCTTTGTTAGGGAATCTTCGATTACACTAGATGTTTCCAATGATTAGTACGTGTTGCCTATTACTGATTCCATTTATGTCCATGAACTCCACTCAATACTATTTAAGGCAACATTCATATACCACCTCGTCGTTGTCCTTGCGATATTATTCGTAACGTGCTACTTTGCAGCAATTTTCTATATAAACATAAGAAAAACATAGTATGTATTTAGATTTTTGATTTTAGATTTTAAAGTAAACATGATTATTGGTCTGTTCCCGTACTGCAAGAATCTACTAGATTTTACTATTTTCTTCGATATCATAAAGGAAAATTCGTTATCGTAGTAAAAAATAGTACATTATTGCAGTACGGGAACAGGCCCTATATAAGAAGCATATTGTATGTAAAAAATGCCTATTGCCTTTCCTAAGACTACATAGAGGAATGACATCATGGTATAGACATATTTCAATGAAACTACTTGGGAAGTGCTTCATACCACCGATTGATTTTTTGCAGTCTATTTCATTGCACGTTCTGCTTGCTTCTGTCAGATATTTGCTTCTTTCTTTTTTAATCTAATTATGTGATGTTGAACCTACGAATGACACATTTTCCATAATGTTGTACTTTCTGTTTATGCACGGCCATTCGCTACGACTAGTGCCATGTTCCAATCCAGAAACCATAAGAAATTGTCACTATCTTTTAATTAATGCTGCAAGCTCCGACATTTGCTCAAAATAATGGCACTGATCATCACGCATTAATCGTTTACTTCTTATTGATTTCTTTTTTTTTTTTAAAGAATACAATCATCATTTTATTTCAAAATGTTGGGGAGAACATATCATTGATGTGATGTATCTATGCACAATTTTCATACATTTCGTATGTAAGTTGACGTCACAATTGTCGGAACACACGAAACATATGATAAAACATATGTGTTGCAATGTTCGTAGCTTTAGCTATGTGTAGTTATGTGAACATGCACACATCGTAATCTAGTCATATAGTAATTTAATCGTACTAAGCGACCGACAGGCCCATAGCAAATATCCAATATTTTTTTTTTATATTTTGCACTGGGCGACAACACGGCGTGCAGACAAAATATTTTTTTATTTAAGAATTAATTGCAAGTGAGTACATTATTAATGCAACATAAAATGTTAATTCGATGTAATTAAGCACTTCTTATCATATATACCTATTGTCTAGTAATGAAAAAAATAAAATAAAAATTATAAAATTTTACACAATGTTTCTGGTAGTCTTTGCTAATTATTATAGAATGTATACATACATATTTACAACAGCAATCATGAACGGCAAGTTAAGAGATCGAATTATTCGCCTATTTAACTAAGGTTGGTAAATTTTTGTAATATAACATTTACGTATTAGTTTATATGTAAATAAAACACAATAGAAAAACAAATATTTAGTTAACGAAGGATGGACCAAAGAACAGAGCTAAGAATGCTGATGACGCCGATATGATTGTTAAGGTATTTTACGCCGATCAATAGTAAGAAAGGCGTACTCGTACAACAATATTAATGGTCTGTTCCGGACTGCAAGAATCTACTATTTTTTACTACGATAACGAATTTTCCTTTATGATATCGAAGAAAATAGTAAAATCGAGTAGATTCTTGCAGTACGGGAACAGAGCCAAACAATAATAAAAATTATGGCTATAATACAATTGAACATTTGTTCAGACCAGATTCTGTGAAAAAGTATGTCAACCTACGTGTATGTTTTTAAAATTAAAATATTTTTAGATTGATTTATTAAGATGCATGGATTATTCAATAATTAGTCTGTCTCGAACATTTTGTTACCATGTAAAACTCTAAAGGTTGTTACGGTGGGAACACCCCTCGCTGAAATTCACGATATCTGCGTTTAGTCCACAGGGAATCAGCCAAAAATAAAATATTTCGAAGCCAGTTTAGGAGACCACCGCAACGCCGTTAAACTTTTATAAGTAGCTTGGTTTTAGAGACTCGATTTGATGATTTGGAAGAAGAGCGAACCAAGAAGAAATGGAATGAAAATGGCGGTTAGTCATCTATACCGTCTTATTCTTAGGATTGCTTTAACTATTGAACTGAGATGGTGGTGCGAGAGAAACAACCAGCTACACAACGCAATTAAGAAATTAGTAGGAGATGATAAAACACACATTAAATTACTAAATGATAAAACACACATCAAACTTTGGGCGTAGTTTTTTCTCTTCAATCATGTTGCTCTTATTTTTGTAGCAAAAATATAAGATATTTCGGCAGATACTTTTTGTCACTACAAATAACTAAACGATTTACCAGAGAGTGTTGTTGGGAATGTGTATAAACGTCACGAGCGTATAAATTTTCACATTTTAGAAATCCACTCGAATATTTCGGATATCTTATGGACACCTTAATACTTTCGGCACATACGAATTTTGTAGGATACTTTTTATGTTGTTTTCCTTTTCAAACAATTACACGAAACAATTAAACTTTGTAATGCATCACTTTTTACTTGGTCACTATTTTTCACGTTGAAGTCATGCACAGAAAATACGGCCGATCTACTTTTAATTTTAAGGCGATTAACTTTACGATATATGCGACCGTCATTAATAATTTTTGCCGCCGTCATGTACTTTCACGGTAGTAGCTCCGTTCCCATATATTTTGATGATGGGAATGGTAAAGAAGTGCTGATGTTTTGTTGAGTGTAAAAAAAGCATAAATCAATGTGTAGTGGTAAGAATGGTACAATTATACAAGGTAGAGTAGCTTTTGTTAGAAAGGAGAAAATAACTTATGGGAAATAATGTCAGAATAAATAACATATTTTTAATATTTTACCAAAAAACGCGAATAATGAACGGAATGTCATGTTTTCTTTTCAAAATTGGAGATATGATTTACATGTTGTTTCATTCACAAATCATACATTTCTTCTTACAAATGTTGTAAAATTCATCTTCAAAAAATCGATTTTCGAATATATTCTGTTATATTTTTCAAAACATTACACACACAGCCACACATTTTGTATATGACTTTGACATAACAAGGCACAGTAAGAAAAAAATTTTAATTTACATGTTCCTATGGACTACATTGAATAATTGTACCATGCCATGAATATATTCATTAAGTGGAAATACATAAGAGGACTTCAGGCTTGGCATGATGCAATAATAATTGTTTCTGTTTACTGGATATTTGGGGAACAAGTCTAGTTTAGGGCCCCCTCCCGGATCGTTTTGAAATTTTTACCACATGTAGTCCTTGGGGCCCTGATTATAACAGCATATATTTTTTCTTGCGGAAATCGGTATTTCCGGAGATATGGACCTCCAAAGTTCCGTTGGGACCTTGTATTTTTTTATTACAAAAATATAATATAAATATCTAATAAGTCCATACTTTCTGAGATATGGCTGAAACACAAGTTGCAAAAATGTGTTAGAGGGTAGCCGGCCTTCGGCCGGTGATTAAGACTTTCTCCTATGAACAGATGACAACACCGGCTACGCGACAGAATCTTCTTTTAATAAGAATAGTGTTTATGGGTAGCCGGCCTTCGGCCGGGGATTTAAAACTTTCTCCTATGAACAGATGGCAACACCGGCTACGCGACAGAATATCCTTTTAATTAGAACAGTGTTTGTGGGTATACGGCCTTCGGCCGTGGATTTAAAACTTTCTCCTATGGTCAGATGGCTACTCTGGCTACGCGAAAGAATTTTCCCTTCATAAACATTGTATCACCAATCACCATACATTTACTCTTTAATACATATATTTATCCTTTAAAATGATACCCATACTGCCTTGACCAATATTACACATGGAAGGTACTTACCGAAATTTGGAGACCCATATCTCAGAAAGTATGCACATATTTCATATGAATATAACATTTTTGTAATTAGGGCTTCAAATGCTTTGAAATGATACCCATACAAGGGTCCAAACGGAAATTTGAAGGCCCATATCTCCGGAAATACCTATTTCCACAAGAAAAAACATGTGGTAAAAATTTCAAAAAGATCCGTGAGGGGGCCCTAAACTAGACTTAAGCCAAAACGTCTTACTCTCTGAACTAGAACTTACTGAGTAAATGTTACTGGAAAAGTAACCAGACACACCTAATAAGGTGTATGTATCAAAACAAAAACCTTTGTTTTTGTCTCGACCATCTGTCAAAATTTGCCTTATAATATTTCACATTGTTGGCAACATTGCACATCGAATTCAAGAAGAAATTGCGCACTCTGACAGTTAATCGAGACATCAGCTGCGATTAAAGGACTACCTATTTATTGTACCATGTCTGAGCATGTGAAGTTGTTTTTTTTTATTGTAAAATAATACAGGAGAACGGCGTCAAAAATTAAATGTGACTCTGATATTCCTTTATAAATTGGAATTTGTTACAAAGATAATTTAACAAGCCTGAATCCTGGTAGAGTAACTTCTGGTATTGTGGACCATGCGTCAAATGTGGACCACCCCCCATATCTAAGAAAATGCGTGAAATATGCCAATGGCACCTTGATAAATGTTTTCCTAATTAGTGAAAACAAACATCAAAGTTGGTTTTTAATAAATAATTGCAATGTTGAAAATTTAGTAGGTGAAAATGTAGCTCTGATTGCAAAAGTGTGATTTGAAATTTTTTTAGCACAATAGTCGAACGATTTTGTAAAATAGTCGAACATTTTGTTTTTCTCGAATATAAAGAGGTTATGTGGTTTTCTTGTTTTCTTTAACAAAAATACACGTTTATCTGTAATTACTTTCGGTTATTTTTAAATTTTTATTCATTTTTGAAGCCGATAATTATTTTTAAATAAAAATATTCAATGTCGGGTAATGTGGACCACTATAAAAAAGTGGGACATTTTCATGAGGACGAGTTCGAAACAAGGGCGCATTTAATCTGCGAGGAGGTATTCAATCCTCTGAAAACTCGATATCCGAAATTATAGGTGCCTCGGTTGGATAATGAAGCAAGGACCTTCAAAATACCGCAAATGGGGTGGTACCCTTAAATGGGGGCAATTCCAAAACATGGACCCATATATTTTTGCATTCATTGTTACCCAAGAGTGCAATAAATTGAAATTTATCACAATTAATCCACAACCTACCTTTAACTACTGATCCTCATTACCCACACATACTGGTCCACATTACCCGCCAAGTTATTTTTATATGCAGATTAGAGTTTTTTGAAATATAATGCAATAACATTTTTATGGACAAATATATATAATTTTTGACCTGGAATATAATTAGCCAACAAATCTACCATGCTGTGAAAACAATTTGTTTTTATTTTTTACCGTTGTTACGCCCACAATATCAAAAAAAGAAAATGGTGGTCCACATTACCCGAAGTTACTCTATATGTTTCGCCCTTTATAAATTTGTACAAATTTAAAAATTTTAAATTTTTGCCATATTTTTGTTAGACCTTTTTTTGAAATTGAAGTTATTTTGAAGCGTTTCCTTTTATAAACCATGATGTATTTTATAAACCATGATGCAATAATAAGGTGATGTATCAAAACAAAAACCTTTGTTTTTGTCTCGACCATCTGTCGAATTTTTCTTTATAATATTTCACATGGTTGGCAACACTGCACATCGAATTCAAGTAAAAATTACCCACTTTGACAGTTAATCGAGACATCAGCTGCGCTAATGGTGTTTCTACACGATATGTATTTTACATATGTGCTGTCACTTTTTTACATATGGAAACATACGGAAATTTCAATGTGTCAAAACGATATGCAATTACATATGTATTTTTTTCCGAATAGGACGCGCTCTATTTTCGTATGTGAAACATTAGGAAATCAGCTGTTTGAATGAAACACATTGTTGGAAGAAAATATTTCAATTGCAATTCAAAGAAAAGGATGAAAAGGCAACAATTACAAATTATTATTTCGTTTGTAGGTGTTTAATAAAAAAATGATGTTGATTTAAGAAAAAATAAAAGTGTTTTTTTGTTTATAGGTTATGTCATATGTAAAATACATATGCCGACTTGAACACAAAAATAAATGTTTTGTGTACACTGCTAATTTTGACACACATAAGGAATTACATATGGATGAAATAAGTGACAGCACATATGTAAAATACATATCGTGTAAAAACACCATAAATGGACTACCTATTCATTGTGCCATGAATTTAACGTACTACTTGTTTATCCAGTCGATTCATATTCGTATATGTGAATCTTCCCTAAATTGACAGTTGAACGACAAATACAATTGTGTGGACCGTAGTTTTAGTACAAATTAGTACTATTCGTTGGACTATGTATGGTGCGATTTTTTGGTATCCCAGCTCTGCTACTATTTTTTATTTTTTTTTTCATTAAACCAATTGAAAATATCAATAAATTTCGAAACTTTTGGATTGTTGGATAAACAAAGCATATGGTGTTCTATTGAAATTCCAAATCAAAACCCTGAAGTCAAACGAACTGTGACATTATGAATTCGGAGGAAGAACGCCTACGAACCTTTTCCACTTGGCCTGTGAACGCTCCAGTTTACCCAAACGCATTAGCGAAGAATGGATTTTTTGCGACAGGAAACTTTCTTGAAGCAAGTTGTCATTGGTGTAATTGCAGAATCAGCGACTGGGAGTATGGAGACGAAGTACAACAGAGACATTTGGCAGCCAGCCCACAATGTGATTTTATTACAAATTATGCAAATTGTGGAAACGTCCGAATACAGGAAATGCCACACTCGACTTCAGACATAGACAATGCCTCTGCTCTTATAACCCCAGATACACAACAATCATCAGATTTAATGATAGAAGCAAATAGATTGGCGACTTTTAAAAATTGGCCGGTATTGTAAAAATATGTATAGAATTTGACAACCAATTGACAAAAATGTATTTTTTATCGACAGAATCCCAACATATCTCCTGAATCATTGGCGAAAGCTGGGTTTTTCTATTTGAATCGATCAGATCAAGTTATGTGCGCATGGTGCAAAGGAGTAATTGCACAGTGGGAAAAACAGGACAACGCATTTCAGGAGCACCGACGATTTTTTCCTGGTTGTCCCCGTGCACAATTGGGGCCGCTAATAGAAATAGCTAGTGCTGGAATAAGAGATCTGGGCATACAACAAATCTCTCCAGCAAAAAATCCAAAATATTCATCCTTAGACGCTAGATTACGTACCTACACAAACTGGCCAATACCAGATATTCAAAAGCCAGAAAGTTTGGCTCAGGCCGGGCTTTACTATCAAGGGGTTGATGATCAAGTTAGATGTTTTCATTGTAATATGGGATTGCGGTCATGGGAGAAAGAAGACGACCCTTGGTTTGAACACGCAAAATGGTAATTAGTGGTTATATTCCATTTTTCATTGCAAAACAAAAACTATATAAAATTGTCTATATATTAAGATATAACGCAAAGGTATTTTTTAAAGCTTATTAATTAATACAGGGTAATTTTTCGGAATTCCTTATCTCGCATAATGTGGACATTAAAATTTCTCATATTTATTAAACAAATTATGTGATAAATTTGATATTGCAACAATGGTTTCAAATGTTTTAAACATGAATGACAAAAAAGTCCAAATCAGGAATCATTATGTGACCTATTTTCAATTCAAATGATTCAAACATATGAATTGTAAGCCATTATGCTGCCTAGTACAGAATTTCTGACACCCGGGAATTACATTTTTTGTATTCGTTTAATTTAAAAAAGCGGGAGTTACGGTAACGTGAGTCCTAGGTATGGTTTAGTCATAATAATCTAACTTCTGGTTTAAGATTAATGTTCTCATCTTTCGGTATTTGGTTGTAAAATTTGGCAGTACATTCTGGTAAGTTTTTCTCACGGTGCTTTATTTTATAGGTATCCTATGTGTCAATTTGTACGATTGGTCAAGGGCGCTAAATATATAGAAGATGTTCAAGAAATGACCAGAAGATCCAACCCAACAGAGAATCTCATAACTCCTATTATGACCATTGACGAAGCTATGTTAACGCCACCTGTACGGTTAGCTCTTGAGATGGGTGTGGATGGCGGCGTTATACGCAACGAGACACTGCGACAGCTCAACCATACGGGTAGACCATATGAAACTGTTGAAGATCTGCTGAAGGCTGTGTTCGATGGTAATGAAAATAGCGATGAACAGAACATTCAAAGTATAGAAACGTCATGTAGAGGTGAATGTACGGGAATTATCAACTCTAGCGCACAACCTATTGAATCGAATAATGCCGAACAATTTGAAAGTAATAGTACTTCGTCCGTATCTACGGCTACAAACAATATTGGAGATGGTAGAAAAGCCGTTGGGCCCAATTCTGAATCAAAGTCAAACGAATGTGTACGTAGTGCATCACCGACGTCAAGGGGCAAAGAACAGTCGGCAACTGAGTTATTATCATTGGAAGAGGAAAATCGTAAGCTAAAGGATGCCCGGCTTTGCAAAATATGTTTGGATGAAGAAGTTGCAGTAGTTTATCTTCCCTGCGGTCATTTGGGTAAGTAAAATCGCTTTTATCAAAGATAAAAAATAATTTAATTATATTTACAGTATCTTGCGTCCAATGTGCCCCCGGCGTTGAGCAATGTCCATTGTGCCGCACAGCTATAAAAGGATTTGTTAGAACATATCTTTCATAAGTTAAATGCCTATTTATTTCTCCGTTTGTTAAGGAATGTTTTACTGAACTAACTAATGTATAAAAAAGTTCCATTATTACATATGTCATTAATATCTTTTATGTTAGAAAACTTACACAATGTGAAAAATATAAAGAGTTGGTCTCTTAAATATCTCACCCCTTGCATTAAATTTTTTATGTGTTTATATATTTAACACTAGATTTACGAATGTTGAGTATATACCTATTTTTATGAAAGTGAGCCAATCATACCAGAAATTGAAGTTGTTTTGTGGAAAAAAAAAACGAAAATTGTGGTGTTCTAAAATTTGGTACATCAAAAAACGTAGCATAAAAAGTGAAGAAAATAAAAATTCATAAAAATTTTGGTATAGATAAACTATTTATATATCCCCCAACATACCGATCTTTATGGCACAGTTCTAGCCACACATTTCGGGATAATTCATTGCAGTAAAAAATTGCGAGCTTCAGTTGGGTTTGTAAGCTACTGCGCTTTGTTAAAAATTAAAAAAAATGCATAACATCCTTGTTGAGCTGAATTTAACCGTTATCTAATGGAACAGATTGTCTAAAATAAGTAGTTTGTAATAATTTGGCATTGACCAGAGCTCACATAAAGTGACATTACAGTACTGAATATTACAATTCGAACTTATGATTAGCCAAACGTTGCTATGCCTTCTGAAATTGAAATTAATTTTTGAGGTATTTTTAATGTTATAGGTAAATGTTTTATTCAAATGTAAATGTTGCTGATGGAGGTTCTGGAACATGCTTTACATTAGATATTATGCCTATGCATTAGTTATTTGTTGATATTGCTGGTTTATTGTTAGTTGTTATCGTTTGTGTTAAGCCTAATGGTCGAATTTTGCAATGAAGTGGATGCCGCTGTTATATGTAGTAGGCGCACATTTTCCGGCATATAACCACCATATAATAAGCGTGTTCGTTTACTTTTTTAAGAGAGAAAATTGCAAAAAGTAAACGAACAACATCCAGTAAAAAGATTGTATCGAAACAGCTGATTAAAACTACAATAAAATTGTGGCAAATAAAAAAGCAGCAACTTTATTAGACAAATATTTAACAAGCGAAAAAAGTATGTTATTTATAAATACTTGCGTTTTCTTCATACATTTTCCTGTTTAATGATACAAAATCAATATAAAATTCACAAAACAATAAATTTGCTTGAGAACAATGTTGTTGCTTTTTTTACAAAACATAACAAAACAGCTGATTAAATATCAGCTGATGGTACAAGAAAATTCTTACTGAGTAAATTTTTCCTTGTAAGAATTTGCAAATACTCAGTAACACAACTGTCAAATCTGCTCTCTCAATTCACTCGCCTATGTCAGTGCTAGTCCTGGACTTTTGGGTAAACGAACAAAATTTTGTAATAATTTGTACAAATTATTGAGTAAACGAACGAACCTATTAATAGTACGTCATGGCATAATTATACAAGGTAGTCTCATGCAGTCGTATCTTTCCATTTTTTTTTTCATAAATTTGCCTTTGACAGTATTCAGCTTTCAAAATTTAAATGAAAATGTCTTCCTTTGAAATGTTCGCATATCATGTGTCCAGTGGCAAAAATTACAAAATAATTTATATTTATATATATTTCAAAGTTCCCTGTGAGTTTTTGTTAATTGGGAATTTATGATTTTATTCATTATATTGTACACAGTGAAATTGTGTGATGTTTATTTTTAAGCAAAAGACAAGCATTTTTGCTGTCCGTAAATACAGCAGCTGTACTGACACCATCTTCAATCATCAAATCTATTGTCTTTTCAATTGCACATAGCTCACCGGTAAGAGAAGAAAGTTTTTCATTAATTTTGAAAACGAAATTTTGATTAGAGGATATGTCGCAAACAGCGCAACCAGTATTATTGTTAAAAACTGCAGCATCAGTCGCCCAAATAGATACGCCTTCCGATCTGAAGCCGTTAATTAATTCGTAGTAGTGACCTTTAATGTACTCCATTGGTGTATTGTGTTTTTTAGTGTTAAAAATGTCCAGAATGAAAACCACCTTTTTGGTCGGATTTTGATTGTAACCAATTTTGAGATTATCAAATACTGTGCGAAACTTTGTATAAACATATCCAAGACTGTTTTTTTTTGATATATTTGAAGTGAAGTATTCGTACAAAGAGAAGTTGTATATTTTAAGTCTTATTAATTCTTTAGCCGCCAAATGTTGAGCTCTTAGATCGGTTGGTAGAGTACCAGCAAGAGCGCATACAACATGATTTGGAGTGGAAGGTACTAGACCCAAATTTCTCCTTAACAACTGATTTTGAAAACTTGTTAGCTTCTTGTACGTTGGCCTGTGAGCCATCGATGATTTTGCATATTCGGTCTTTGAAAAAACAAGCTCTTTTGATAGGTTTATAGCTTTTGCGGGATGAATTCCACTTTTTGGACCCGCGACCATTTTTAACGCATTAATAGTATTTCTGCAGGATAACATCACCTCTTCGTAATGTTCCTTGAGTGATAGACTGTTTTTAATATGCCTTCTTAAAAATTTAATGGACTTAACAACGTTTACTTGGACTCCATTTAGTAAAATATGAGGAGTTTTCCGACCTCCTTTAGCCACGTACATTACGGAAGTTTTATCAGCATTCACGTCGAGGTTAAGTTTTTTTAGCAAGGATACCATATTATTAGTTTTTATTTGTAAATTATTGTTGGCTCTCTCGAAGTCGGTGCTTGCCACCAGCAAAATAAAATCATCCGCATATTGGAAAATGTTGGTGTTTTCGTCAGCCAATCCATGAAGACCTAAAGTGTATAGGTTAAATAGTGTTGGGCTTAAACAACTGCCTTGAGGAATCCCATTGTATATATTTAGTGTGGAGTTACCCATACATAGCGTCCTTTTGCAGAGAAAAATTATAATCCATGATCTAATTTGTAGCGGAATGTTTATTTCTATTAAAATCATCTGCAGGTAATTTATATCGACACATTCATAGGCCTTCGATACATCCATCGAGAGAACAAGAACCTTGTATTTTTTTTCTTTTGATGTGTTTATTGTATGTAGTATGTCATTTATACATGTTGAAGTTGACACATGTCTGCGGTAAGCATATGATCTAGGTGGAAGAATATTATTTTCATCTAGAAAAGTGTTGAGCCTTTGTTTGACCATGAGGTTTACGATCTTTGCCAGAACAGAAATTAAAGCAATTGGCCGAAAATTTGTACAAATATCTAGATTTTTTCCTTTTTTCGGTATGGAAACAATTTTAATTGTTCTCCATTCTTTAAAAAACTCGCAGCTTTTCCATAATTTATTAAAAGAATTCAAAAGGTTCAGTTTACTCTCATGGGATAGTTTATTAACCATTTCATATGTGATTCCATTCAGACCAGCTGCAGATGGCTTAGTTTTTTGCGCTAGAACGTTGCTTAGTTCTTCCATGGAGAATTCTGTAGACTGATTATTGTAAATGGAAACGGATATAGAGTGGTGATCACAGAATTAAAACATTTACTGTGATAAACATTTTTTGATCAGCCCTCGATTCGTTTGAAGTATTTTTGAATTTTTTTTTAATTCAGAACACTTTGATATACTGCACTTAAAAGATTTAGTGCGAAAATAGAAAATTATTGCATGCAATTTTCCATAAATAACGGTTTTTATGAAAATAAATCGATTTTGAAGTGGCCATATAATTAAAACATTGTGTGATTTTTTACTTTACTGCATTTTTTTTTGAAAAAAATTTTAAAAAGCTCTTTAATTTAGTTAAATTATGTAAATTAAGCAGTGATAGAATCATTTACAGATAAAATATCTGAAAAAATCTGTAAAATCTATCAAAATTGCCAAAAATTTGTACAGTATACGTAACATTCAGAAAACACCCTTATCATAGAAAATAAAGGTCCGAATGCACAAGAAATTGCTAGAATTAGTAAAAAACAATTAATAATTCTCAAAATGAATAACTATTTGAAATAAAAACTCAAAAAATGGGAATTAACCTAAAGGAACGATTTTCAATTTCAATAGCCTTTACTAAAGAAGGCCGGAATATTTTTGCAGTATGTGAGAAAATATCGATTGATATTGGTATTTATTATATCAAATCGATTGTTCGATTGTTATTTTCTCTCTCATTGGTAAATTGAGAGTAATTAGAGTTGCGCTATTTTTAATTTTGTAACAAGCGTACTTTTTGTTCCGAAAAGGTACGAATTTACATAAAAGTACCAAAACAAAAAGTAGATTTTTTTGTTATTCGTGAATACATTTACCCTTAAATTATAACATATATTATTTATGTAAATACCAGTTATTTACAATAAATACCAGTTATTTAATATATTGGCCAATATTTCTCTATAATTATGATTTATTACCATTTGAAGTAAAATTTTTGTTCCTACCTGTGTCAATGTTTTCCAACTCTATTCCCAATTTACTAATGAGAGAGAAAAAAACATTACCTAAAATTTTACTTCAAATGGTAATAAATCATTTGATATGTTCCCGTACTGCAAGAATCTACTAGATTTTACTATTTTTTTTTGATATCATAAAGGAAAAAATTTGTTATCGTAGTAAAAAATAGTACATTCTTGTAATACGGGAACAGACCAATAACTATCGAGAAATATTGGCCAATATTTATATCACTTATTTTCATAAATAATATAGGTTATAATTTAAGCGCAAATGTATTCACGAATAATAAAAAATCTTTATGGTACGTTTTTGTAAATTGGTACGTTTATGTAAATTCGTACCTTTTGTGCATATGATACAAAAAATAGTACAAGTTTGTATATTCTTGCAGTATGTGAACCGACTACAAGCTATACAATTATTAGTCTGCTCCAGAACCTGCAAGAATGTACAATTTTTTACTACGATTCTTTATGTGATATCGACAAAAATAATAAAAATTAGTAGATTCTTGCAGTACGGGAACAGACCATCGCTCATTTGCTGTCTTGTAACAAATGAGGAATATGTCCCAACAGGTAAACAT